TCTAAACCATATAAATGGCCTTGAAAAGTGCAGATATAAGGAGAAAAACAAAGATACCAGCCTTGTTTTTATATTAGGAAACATTCTCTTGCAAATGAGGCAATAAACTGAGTAATAAAACCGTTGACTTGACAGACAACTGTTTTCTTGGTGAAGATATTAGAGGGAACTAGAAAGGGAACAATTTTTGTCTCATGTCTGAGATTCAGAGAAGCCATAATTAGCAATGTAGAGATGGAGCTTCTAAGTAGCAAACAACAGACAATAAATTTAGTAGTCATCATTAAAAGTTAACAAATACTTCACTGGTAGCTGAGATACTGTGATTACTACCTATATTTTAATATCAAGAAGGACTGCAGTGTCTTAGAAATCACTCTGTGGTAAAGTGTGGTAAATAATGTCTTTTTAATAGCTATTACTAGTTTTAAAGTGCAATCAAAGAGAGAAAAAATCAGAGCGTTTTATTTTATTTCCATTTTGGTATGTGCAGTTTAGGAAGCTCAAGTTTAAAATTAATGTAACAAACCAGAACAAGGAAAAAACAAAAAAAGAAATGGTAAAGTGTTCAAAGAAATACAAATGCATGCATATCAAGGAAGTGAGCAATAAAAACAATGTGAATGAACAAGGATGGGTGAAAGGAATCAAGGGGAAAAGAGGACATAGGTATAAAATATGATACACAATGGAGGAATAAAGGTTTGTTATATAACACATTCAAGGTGTGTTGTAATTTAGATGTTGTGAATCTCATTTAGTTAGACAGATCTTAAACCATATTTAGTACGACTGACCCAGAAAATATAACAAAATTCTCTTTTACCTTTGAAGCCCATCATAAGTTACTGTCTCAATGTAATCAAAACGGCTGTCCACCCAGTAAAGTCTCTTCGATACAATATCCAGAGTTATTCCAGCAGGCCAACCTAATTTTGTTTTTATCAAATCTTGTCGGTTTGTGCCATCCATGAAGGCCCTTTCCACTTTAGGATCTCCAGAAAGACTATCCCAGTCTGAGAAAAATAAATAACTATAAAAGAAAAAAAATTAAAGTCTCATGTTTCCTTGAGATTTTATATGAGAGCTACATTTTACATGGAATTTTCAAATTGTGTCATCATTGAAGACAATATAAATTATATAAATATTTTAGAGATATAGCTATATCATCATCTAGTGTCAGTTGGTGCCCAACGGAAATATGCCAGTTGATATCAATTGACGATATGGCCTAACGTTTTTTCCACACATGGAGCTCAGCAAGACCTGTGATTTCACTCAGAGGTTTATAGGACTTCTAATTTTCTCAACAATGGACAAAGGAACCAAACAGACCATCAGGATCAATCAGATGGGCCGTGAAGGTAGCAATACATCAATATAAAGGACATGAAACTCATTTTTCTGTCATAGAAGATCAATTTTTTTCATGACTCCTGAAGTAGGGATGTTAGGTAGCGGGTAAAAGAATAGTCAACTAACTGCATATATTTTGAGCAGTTAGTTGACTATTCTATGATCTCCAGGTGCAGGGCCGATTGATGGCTAGTGCAATCCAGTTTCACTCCTGGGGAGCCCCTGCCGCCCTGCACTACTGCTTTTCTATCAGAGGTAGCAGTGCAGGGTGCCAGGCGGAAACTAGTCCATGAGGGGAGCCAGTTTAAAACCAGCACCCCTTGAGGACCAGCCACCTGCCTCCCACGCTGCTGCCTCTGTATCAGAGGCAGCAGCACAGGGGGCGAAGCAGCATTTCCCCACAGCGCGCCCAGGATCGCCACGGGCAGAGGCTGCTCCATGGGATGTGGAGCAACCTCTGTCCACAGCGAGCTTGGACACACCAAGGCAGGCTTCCCCTGCTCCCTGCCAGGCTAGGGACTTAATGCACATCTGTGTAAATTACCAATCCATAAGTAATATTTTTTACCAATTAATTATACAGTCTTCCTCACCAATAATATGACACTGTACAGTACATTATGTACAGAAATACCTTAACCCATAATGAAATGCAGACACCTCTGAGGGACAAATGCAAGAGCCATTCTACAAAGGGCTGTAAAAGGAAGAGGGTTTAGTAAATTTTCAAACTGACCATGTTTAAACTGAAATTTCAGTTGGGGAGCTGGGTTTAATAGCCATAACTCTTGTGAAATGAGCGATGAGACAGTAGTACACAAGTTGTCAAGACCTCTCTTTTATTATTTATTTTAAAAGACAATCATTGGCTATTTCTTAGTTACTGTTCCTTTATACAAGAATGCAGGGATTTTAACCATCTTTTCTCATTACCTCACCTGTATCACTTACCCAACAGTTGGGTCGAGTGCTATTCCTCTAGGATTTCCCAGATTTTCAGCAATCAGTGTTACACGGTTAGTTCCATCCAAGTTTACCATATCTATTCTGTTCACACTGGTCTCAACTACATACAGTTTATTGTTAACCCAGTCTACTGCGAGATTTTCAGGTGTGTCAACTGAAACGTTTAAAACTTCATGGATATTGGAGCCATCAATATCAACAGAAAAAACCTGAAAATAAAATATGTATTATCTTAAGCTATTAAGCATCACGGAGTATGTCTAGACAACGGGGCTATTTCGGAATACCAGAGGTATTCCGATATAGCTACACCGCGTCTTTTAAATGCGCCTGTTATTTCGAAATTTTTTGAAATAACTGGTGCATTATTTCAGCATCCCTGTAACCCTCATTCCATAAGGGTTAAAGGACGTGCTATTTCTAAATTTGGTGCTGTGTAGACGTGCCAAATTTCGAAATAAACTATTTTGAAATACAATTGAAATAAGATACACAATTTGCATAGCGCAAATTGCGTATCTTATTTCAAGTTTAGAGTGCTGTGTAGACTCACCCATGATGTTTCATTAATGGTACTGGTAATGACTTTACCATGCCGATTCATATGAAAAAAAGTGTTTTTATGGGGTTAGGGGAGAAAAATATTAAAGCGTAAAATGTACATTAAAACAATGTTACAATGCACCACAAATTAATATAATTCAAAAAGTTTTGAACTAAAAAGTCACAATTTTAAATCCCCACCCCCATTGGGTTCACATACTGCTCAACTTATCAACTGTTTAAGCACCTATTCCATTGCTCTAAACCCAGTGACAGAGAATCTGGTGGATCTTAGCCCAAATGAAAATCACATGAGATGAGGAATGTTATAGGGTAGGGTTTCTAAAAGTAAGGGTCCCCTCTGAGAAAGCTGCTAATGGGCCGTTCCAGTTTGTTTACTTACCAGTTCCGCAGTCATGGGCCTCGTGGCTCCCACTGGCGGTGGGTCTCTGTTTGCAGCTAAAGGACGCTGCAGGAAGCAGTAGCTTGGGCCATGCTGCTTCCCACTGTTCCCCTTTGCTGCACATAGTGAACCAGAGCCAATGGGGCCATGAGGCTCTGTGTCTGGGGAGCCATTAAGTAAACAAAGAGCAGCTCATTAGCAGCTTTCTCAAAGTGGACCTGCAACCCACTTGTAGAAACACTGTTGTTGGGGCATAACTCATAATATTCTGGATTAGTTTTCACCTTACCTTGTTAACAGAGTATTTTAAAGTCTTTATTTTTGTAACATTTATGTAATTTTTGTTATAGGAAATATTAATTACAATGCATTTCACATGTAATAGAATGTCATTATTATTAATTATAATTATTATTATTATTCCTTGAGGTTGCAAACAGGATTAGAACTCTATTGTATTGTGTATGACCCAAACACAAACAAATAGTCTCTGTGTCAAAAAGCTTTTCATTAAAAAGTCCATCACTGGAATGTTGGTTCGTTTTACAGTGAAAGATAAAACAATACAATTGCACGTGGAAACATTTTACAGGTAAAACTCCTTCCTCAGCTTTGAACTATGCTGTTCCAATCAGTTTAAGCATAATAAATGGAAACATTCTGTGAGGAAACTCAAGAATTGTGCAAAGCTATCAACTATGGGGCAAATCCTGCTCTTCCTCCATGGCCACACAAGGCCTTTAATAATGTGACTTTGCTATAGAAGGCCTGGCAAATTTATACATGTGAATGCCAGCTCAGTGACAGAAACCTCTACACACTGGGGTAAACCCAGAAGACTTCCCTGTCCTGTAATCCACACCCAACAAGGCAAGTGTCCTGTAAAAACATTTATTACTAAAATTAGGATCCTTTTTGATAGACTAGAGTTTGAAAGATTGGAGCATATACATATTATGACATCTAACATTAGTGACATGGTACATACTCGGAAATATATAGCTTTTTACTGACACAGAGTTATCAGTTTATTTCCGCTCTAGGTGTACTTGCTCTAAAAAATTGTTATAAAAGTTTTGTAATTATATAATTGAACTGCAACTTTTATTCTTTCCAGTGAGGTTGGAGAAGGAGAAAAGAGAAAAGGGGAAAAATACAAGCCTTCCTGCTTTAACATGTACCCCAAACTGACTTCTGAAATTACTGTTTTACTTTGAATTAAAGCTGAATTTATTTCCTCTTTTCAAAAAAAGTAGTGTAACAAAATATTGGCTCATTATACAAAATATTGTCAATATTTGCTACCCCATGCTCAATTACTCCACTTTGAGTATATGGGAGAAATGTGATTTTTATCATCTTGGAAAACACAGCAGGTTTACATGTTAAATGATCAAGTTTCAAAAAATTACTAAGAAAAATTTGTCCATTTTTGAAAGAATGTCTACTATTTCTCTTAATTAGGCTTTTGGACTCCATTTCTAATAAATTAAAAGTTGCTCAAGATAGCAACATATAATAGCGTGCTTTGTTTAATATATCATCAGATGTAACAGTATAGCTTGGAAAACGTGATGATTAATGTAAAACTTCAAGGGCCCTTTTTGTTAGAAAACAAAGATACGGCCTGCATCTGCTCGCAAAAATGAAAAGCTATCAACACATTCTGCTCCTGGGTCTTTTTACTTCCAAAAAAATCATATTTTTCTTGAAATTTCTGCCTACCTTATCTTGCACTGTGTCTGTCCAAAAGACTCTACGTAGGTAAAAATGAAAGTCCACTCCAACTGCAACTCCACGATTCTGGGATTGCACCAAAGTACGAAAACTCCTTCCATGGACATCTCCAATCAACAGATCACGACCATTGGAGAAAATAATTGATGCAGCACCAGCTGAAAGTATGGGCAAGTTGTGACTTCCAGCACAACATACAAATCAGTTATTTTGCAAACAAGCATTAATGTATTTGCTTACTACAAATAGAACACACAGGTATATACTGACACATCAGTATTGAGTGTATACATGCCTGCTGGTGGTGATTTTGTAGACTGCTCAAATTGCATCCACCTTTGATAATCTGATCCTTTAAGTACTGTGTGGCTACCCGGTCTACTGAGTTTGGCTTGGAGTTTTGGAGGAGGCAACTAAGGAAAGTGCAGTAAAAACACTTGTGTGTGAAAATGTTATCAAAACTGCACATCCTGAAGAAGGTTCTCTCAGTCTCTTTTGTCACTCTCTGCCTTCTCTCAAAAGACCTTTTTCCACATGAGATATGGATATTCTTGAGCCTGCCACACAGCTTACTACCATTTCCCATAGGTATTTATTCTCACGCCCCATTAGATCATTTCATAGCAGCAGAGACTCTCCAATAAAGCTCTGAAGGAAAGTTTACCGTGAATATATATCCACGGAGGGGTTAGTGGTTCTATTTCAGTGGAAGAAATTTAAGACCAAATCCTGTTCACTTCATTCAGACAAGTCTGCCATTAAAGTAAATGGAGCAAGCCCCCTAAAAATGATTCCCTGATCTGAAAATCCTGTTTCTAATGGATATTGTGTTTTAAAATAGGAAATATCTCTGTAACCAATGGACTCTTTTATGCTACTGGAACGTATTATGTGTGCCTGCTGTATTTTTCAAGCATATTTCACTACTTTTTTTCCAATACAGAGAAAATTACAGGTAATATTTGCTTTACAAGTAAAATTACAGCAAGAATTGCACTTGGCACCATTTACTTACATGACGTGTTGGCTCTACAGTGGCGGTGATGCTCCAAGAAATAACCTTCCACACAGTGACATAGGTGATGGCCAACACGATCTTCACACAGCTGGTCACACACACCCCACATCTTACAATCATCAAAATCTGTTAAGATTGTTTATACATATACCTTGTCAAAGCTTTGAATAAACAAGACACTGTCATACTTGGCAGTCCTAACATAGTCCTCCCTTTTTGACTTGTGCATAAATAAAATGAATCCTTGTAAGTATTTCTAATGATCAGAAACATTTTCATCATTTCGAATGATAGGAAGATACATGAGAGAAAAAAATTGAGCAGCATTACCAGTTCATGAATAGGTGATGTGTGTGTGTGTGTGTGTGTGTGTGTGTGTGTGTGTGTGTGTGTGTGGATATATGAATATTTATAAGAATTCCAAGAGGAACATATTTATTCATATTACCATTTACAGTAAAACTCCGATGGTCCAGCATCTGACGGTCTGGCACTCCTGATGGTCCGGCACCATAAGGAACCCGGAAGTGCTCCGGGCAGCCGGACCATTGGAGCTGCTCTGCCCCCAGCTTCCCCGATTCAGCCACTGCTAAAACTGACCAGCGCTGAATCCGGGAAGCAGGGGGCAGAACAGCTGGAGTGCTGCCTGGTAGGTCCAGTAGCGCTGCCCCTCGGGGCTGCGGGACCAACCCAGCAGCACCCCAGCTGTCCCGGATTCAGCCGCTGCTGAAATTGACCAGTGGCTGGGCTCCGGGAGCCTGAGACCGAA